CTGCAGGGTGCGGTGTTGCCTTTACTGTCTTACATTTTGCTAAAATCTTATGACAAATAAAAGCGTCAAATGAAATATTGACGAATATGAGCGGATATGCTTAGAATTTAGAATATAGATTCATATTGCAAGTTTCAGATTGTCTATGCATGGACTTGAACCGGATTTTTCGGTATTTTTACTGAAAAAAGAATATTTACCGATAACATCATTCTCCACGATTTTTCAAAATAATTTAAATATTTCTATACTTGCCGAAAAAGAGCTGAAAGCAAAAATAAAGCTAAAAGTTAATATAATGTACGAGCCCCTCCCAACTTCAGCTGGCACACTTCAAGATTTGTACCAGAATATGTCTTAATAAACTAAACACGACGAAACTATTTACTTCTAAAACAATTTATTTGCTCAAAAACATTTTTCTTCTAAAATTGCCAAATATTTGCTTGTATCCACATTTCCATCAATAAAATGAAGTTTTCCTACTCCTGTTGATGACATACTGCCCCAGACCATAATGGATGCTAGAAATTTTACCTTTCTCTTCAGACAGTCAACATGGAATGCTTAATTTTTTTGCGAATGACTCTACTGCGACTGTCACCAACACAAACTCCGAATCGGGCCTCATCACTCCATTGTATTACACGGCATTGTTGAGGTGTCCATTGTCTATGTTCTTTAGCCCATCTAATCCGATTCTTCTTCTGCAGTGGGGTTGATAGTGGCTTTTCTTTGGCCTATAAACAAGTTGTGCAACTTTAGGGTTTTTACTTCACTTTTTTTTATAAGAAAACTTAAACTTGCAAGTGCTAAATCCCAGTTTGTGGGCCTCTCTATGAATTGTAGACCTCGAAGTTCTCCTTCCAACAGCGTCACTCTGCAGAGCACTTAATTGTAAATAACTGGCACGCCTGTTTTTCACGATTATTCTTCTTAATGCTCTTCGGTCGGCATTTGTGATATTACTTTTTTTCACATATCGTGGCTTAATATTAACTGAACCAGTTACGTTATATCTTCTAACAATATTTCTCACAACGTACCGCGATAAGTCTAACAAAGTTGCAATTTCTGAGTTTGATTTCCCAGAATTAGAAAATTTAATTACCAGTAACCGAATTTTCTCACTAATAACCTTTCCGCTACCCATTTTAAAAACCTTAACTACCCAAAACTATTTTAAACGTATTCTGACAGCTGTGGTTAGTAAAAACAATTGTCATGGCTTTTATCTTTCACAGCCACCTATGCGTTATAGAGTTATTTTGCATTGAAATGAAAATAGGTTGATATACTGTAATTGCAACATGTGTTATTTTTATGCTGCAAATTTAATTGTTAATATTTTAAACCTATAACACCCTTTATTATTTGTGTTTGATAAGAAAAAAACTAAGATTTCAATAGTTGGGCCAACTGAAGTGGGAAGGGGCTCGTAGTCTTCATAATTTTATGCCCCATATCAATCATACATATGCATATACACTGAGGCAGTCGGGCACATGAGAGGCGTATATTTGGGTTGCCTATGATTACGAACGCACATCCTCATCCCTTACTCCGCTTGCCCTGAATTGATTTTTATGCATACAAAGGTACAGGCTGGTAGATTACCGTCATTATCTCTTCACCGGACAAGCAATAAGGAAACCGAAACATGACTGTTTTCACAATAAATATTTAATTAAAATAAGAGGAGAGTTCATGAGTTCAGGGGTCAATACAATAACAGACGTTTTTCATGACTCAAAGGTCCTTGATCTACCACTGATCTTGTGACGGCATTTTCCTTATACCGAATTCAACGACACTATTTACCGATTCCGCTTTTTTGCCGGTTCGGCAACACTGCAGATGTGCAGATCACTTTGAAAGCAATTGATATCCCAGACGTGTTATAATAATAGAAATAACAAGAAAACATAACAATGTTTGGAGATATACTTTCATAAATAATAAACATCTCATTATAAATCACTGACATTCAGAGAGCTTTGACAGCTTCCGTCAAATTGCATTTCGAGAAGGTATTCTCCTATTGGTCCAACTGACCGTCAAATATTAATGTTGGTGAAATTGGCCCTAAGTCGTGCAACAGTGCAGACTTAAATGAAATGATTAGATTACGAAATGATTCCTAAGACATTTCACATGTCCGCAAAAAACTGGTTGATAAATTGAACTAAAATATGAAAATAACTAAAAAAACCACAATTTTATAGCTAACCGAGCTGAAAAGTAGAAAATAATTTTTAATTACAAATAGCTTATAACGGGTGATTTTTTAAGAGGTATAGGATTTGATTTAAAAAAAAACACAAAAAATTTGAAAAAACGATTAAATCTTTATTTGAGTCCATAGAACGGTCGATATAATTTAATTTTTAAAGATTATTTCATGTAAATGTTGGCCGCGGCTCCGCTTTAGATGGCCCATGCGCAAGGTCCAATTTTGGCACACTCTCTCCAACATATCGGCCGGTATCTCATGAATAAATGCTTCAATATTGGCTTCCAGTGCGTCAATCGTTGCTGGTTTATCCCTGTAGATATTAGCCTTAACATGGCCCCACAAGAAATAGTCCAACGGGGTTAAATCACACGATCTAGGCGGCCAATTGACGGGCCCCAAACGTGAGATAAACTGTTCACCGAACTCGCCTCTCAATAGGGCCATTGTTTCGTGTGCGGCGTGGCATGTGGCACCGTCTTGTTGAAACCACATGTCAGCCAAATCCAGCTCTTCCATTTTGGGCAAAAAAAAGTTTGTTATCATCGCACGGTAGCGCTTGCCATTCACAGTTACGTCCCGGCCATTGTCGTCTTTGAAGAAGTACGGCCCGATGATGACACCGGCCCATAGTCCACACCAAACAGTTATTTTTTCGGGATGCTTTGGTAGCTCTTGCAATGCTTCTGGCTGGTCTTCACTCCAGATGCGGCAATTTTGCTTGTTAACGTACCCATTCAACCAGAAATGAGCTTCGTCGCTGAACACAATTTTTCGATAAAAATGTGGATCTTCCTCCAACTTTGCCACCGCCCATTCACCAAATTGGAAACGTTGTGAGAGGTCGTGTGGCTTCAATTCTTGCACCAGCTGTATCTTATAAGGTTTTACACCCAAATCCTGTCGCAAATTTTTCCACGTAGTGGAGTAACTGAGGCCCAATTGCTGCGAATCGACATTTCACGGTCATCACTAACACTGGCGGATACAGCCGCAATATTTTCTTCAGTCCTCACTCTACGTCTGGGTGTTGGTGGTTTAATCTCCAATAATGAAACTGGGTTTGAAATTTAGTCACAAGTTTCCGAATAGCTCCCTCAGTAGGCCGACCAAATTGCCCATAAATTGGAAGTAGTGCTCGATACACTCTCTTAACCGAGCATGAATTTTGATGGTAAAATTCAATAATTTGCAAGCGTTGTTGGTTCGTAAGTCGATTCATGGTTAAATTATAGACCAAACTGAACAAGTTTGACAATGACACAAGACACGATTTACGCGTCATCTGTCAAAAACAGTGTTGCCAAAAAGATACTAGCAAAAAAAACACCCATTATTACAGTAGTAGATGGTCGACAACCAATCATGATTATTAACCTCAAAATAAAATTATAATAAAGTTCAAGCTAATAACAGAATAATTTAGTTCAGAGTAAAGTACAATTTATTTTGAAATCAAACAACAAATAAAATCAGTGAAAAATTAAAACTACTTTGGGAAAATTAATTTTTTTGTCTCTCTCTCTTTGGAAGTACTTAGAATTTCTGAACTTTCTGAGCGGCATTTCGTTTTTTTTTTCTTATATTCGAACTACCACGAAGGCCTAAGGCCTAAGCACCCATTGGGTACCGTGCGGCTATAGGGGGATACATGGGAAAGGGGGGGAACGCCACACGGACTCTGGCGAGGGAACACGTGTGCATGCAACATGCACGCCGGGTGGTACCTCCGCGTTCGACATTCAGAGACCATCTACCACCTACAGACAATCACAACATCCATAGCCAAGAGAAAAATTTCTCCTGGGACGGGACTCGAACCCGCACAGCGCACGGCGACTGATCAGGAGACCGAAGAGTCTACTACTGCGGCCACCGCTGCTGCCTATCCTGTCATTTAACTAAATACGCAACTGTGTCCCCACTTAAGCGACTTCGTATATCTTATCGTTTCCCAGATCCCAATGTAAGGGTCGAACTTGAAATACCCAATATACATTAAAAATCTTTTTTTCGAAAATGGAGAACCCCAGAATAGCCCATAAGATTAGTCCTTGAACTTCTAACTTTTACGTATGAAACATTCTGTTCTATATAGTTAGGCCAACTTTCACAACGATAAACAACAAAGTTGTAAGCGAAGCTCACCCTCGTGTGTCCAGCTGTTTTATAACCTTGATACTAAGACGATATTTAATACCTTCTTCTTTCCTTTCTTTCGTATTCTGCAGCAAATCACTTAGTAGCAGCAACATGGCGACAAAGTAACCAAATGACGCGATCCAGATAAGAGCGACCATAACTCAAGTAGAATTGGAAACGCACGAACAGGGTGAAGGCTGGTCCCTGCTGTTATCACTGTTATCAGCCCAGCGTGAGATGTCCAACGTCTGTCCCATAAATACTACAGCCAACGTGATTCTCCACGTTGATGGAGACTAAATTAAGTAAAAAGCGTGTTTGTCATTTTTTCTGTCGAAAAAACGGTCTGATTTAATTAAGGGTGTATACGAAGGGCGGAATGAGTCATTTCTGATAAAGGGGTGCATGGCTGAGGAAGGAAAGTGACAATGAAAAATATGCTGATTTTTGTAATGGATATTATGATATGCAGGAATTATTAGACTCCGGAGCGGCTACAACAGTTATTGGTCAATAACTTAAGGTGGGCCATAGGTGTTTGAAGCAAAGGGGTAAGTAGCAATGAATTTAGGATAGATGGAAGGAGCACGCCTACGATTTGTAGTAGTAGTAGTCCTTTATTCAGAAAGAAAAATCCTAATTTCAACTACAACAACAACAACAACAACTGGTAGCATTACAGCATTTCACAAGTACATACATATATATTCAAATATAATAAATTTAACAAATTCTGTCAGATCTTTTGTGTTTGATAAGTGCTTTCTTGAAATACCCGGCGTTTTTTATTTGCTGGGGCAACTTATTGTATTCACATAGTCCTTTGTACATTATTGTGTTCATATTTGTTTTATTTACATGGAAATAAGTACACGTCCTAGTGTTATATGAATGGATCTCATTATTTGGGCGTAGATGCCCACCTAAATAATTAGGTAATGTTCCCTTCACAATTTTATAAATAAATAGCATTGCTGTTAAATAAAGATGTTCATGCTAAAGAAATATCATAAAGATGAACAGTACTGAAAATGAGGTTTTATTATTGTATTGTAAACCGTAATTCTTGCAAACATTGATAGCTGTTTAGAAACTCTTGAAAAAAATACAGTTTCTTTGAAATTTTCTTAATAATATAGTCACTATATATATTTCATTGTATCAACTATATCAAGAACTGTCTTTTCAATTTTAATTTGGATTTTAGCTTTTATTATATTCTTGTTTTTACTTTTGTTTGATATTACCATTGCTTTTGATTTTTGAGTGTTCAACTTCAATTTGTTCATTTTTAAATATGTATCAATGTTTGCAAGGTCACTGTTCACAATATCGATAGCCACATTGAGGTTTTTGCAGGCTGAGTACATAAGTGTGTCATCGGCAAATAGATTTATGGAGATACTAAGTGACATATAAATCCGAACACCCAGTTTAAATGGTTTTATTTTAATAAAATTTTGTATAAGTACTTAGTGAAGCATAATAAGTAAATGATAAAAATTTCAAAATGATTGCACTGCTTTAAAGCCCTTTGACCTTTAATAATATGTGGATGCACCCTGATGTGCTACGCATTCTCCAACGCGCCTAGGCATGCATCTGATCAGGTGGTCAATGTCCTCCTGTGGTATCTCATTCCAGGCAACCACCAACTCCACTCCTCTCGAAGTGCTTCTAGAGTCTGATGAGGACGTTGCAAATTGAGCAATCTCCTACCCATCACATCCCACACGTGCTCAATTGGGGATAAGTCGGGAAATCTTGGTGGCCATGGTAACAATGTGACATCATTATGTTGAAAGAAGTCTATTGTGACTCTTGCAACATGTGGTCGGGCATTATCTTGTTGGAAAGTTGGATCTGCCAGGGTGTCAAGATAGGGTAAAAGATGGGGTTCTAGAACTTCGCGGATATAACGCTGCGCGTTCATGTTACCTCTGATGAAGCCATGCCTGACAACACCTAACCACAGTGTCTACACTTCTTTGCACTCTAACTGCAATTGCCCGAAAAGAAAGTCCAGCTTCCCGAAGTGCCACTATACGGCCCCTATCAAACTCACTAAGTTGACGAAATCGTACAGGTCTCCGTACTTTAGGCATCGTAACCAATCGTAAAGGATGTCAAGAACCAAAATCCGCCAACGTTGATTCTTTACTGCGGCTGAAATATTCATTTTTAGAGCGTTAGTGAATTAAAAAAAACAGTATAAAAACCGGAATGTCCAACTGATAAGGCTGAAAATAAATTTTTTCACTTATTATTTACAGTAAGATATATACATTCACCAACTTTTATTAAAATAAAACCATTTAAACTGGGTGTTCGGATTTATATGTCACTTAGTATATTATAAAAAATAATGGCCCTAAAACACTACCCTGAGGAACTCCAAAACGTACAGAAATGGTTTCGGAGATAGAAGGACCAATCTTAGTCCTTTGACCTCTGTCACTCAAATAACTAATTATCCATCCCAGGACAGTGCCTCCAATTCCACATTGTTCTAATTTATCTATCAATGTTCGTCTATCTATTGTTTCAAACGCTCTTTTGAAATCAAGGAAGACTGCAATTACATAGTTATTGTCATCAATAAGTTTCATCCAACCAGTTACTGTAATTTGAAGAGCAGTTTCACAAGAGTGACCTTTTCTGAAGCCCGATTGCTTAGCCATGAGAAGATTATTGGTTTCAAAATATTCAACAATTTGTTTATGGGCACATGTTTCCAAAAGTTTTTCAAGAGGTGGCAAAGTATTTATAGGTCTAAAATCAGATGCTTCTATGGAATTAGATACTTTAGGGATGGGCGTAACTGTGCTTACTTTTAATGCATCCGGGAAAACTCCATAAGCTAGTGAAGTGTTGATAAAATTGAAGATTACATGACCAATCGAGTGCAAAGTATTTTTAAGAAGTTTAGTATTCAAAATATCTTTACCGTATGTTTTATTTTCAAATTAAAGTATAATTTCTTTCAATTCATTGAATGATATGGACCTAAATTTCAGGAACGTAGCTGCATCACAAGATAGATCATTATCCACATATATATTATCAGACTGGATACTTTTTACAATGTCACAAATACTGTCACAAAGTAAAGGTTGAAATTATCAGCTATTTCCACTTTACATCTGGAAATAACTTTTTGGTCATTCAGATAAAAAATTATTCTATCGAAATTAGTAGCTCCTACCGGCTTTATTAAAGATTTCAATGTTTTCCACATAGTTTTGGAGTTACGTTTATTCTGATCAATTTTTTCTTCAAAATATTGTCTTTTTTTCATTTTTAACAAGTTAACACGTTTATTTCTGAACATCTTGTATTTATCCCACTGATTATGTTTGTCAATTATATGGCCACTTTTCCTAAATTGTTTGTAGGCAAGATCTCGCTCCCTAGCTTTATCTTTGAATTCAATATCGTAGTAGGGAACCTGGTCACCTCTTACTGACAATGAGAGCTTAGATGAATTTGCATTGACTGCCTGAGTTATATTCGCCCGTAAATTCTCATAAATTTCGTTGACATTAACACTATTCGTTGTCACAAAACAATAAGTCTATGTTTATTTCTAGTAATTCGTCGTATTTTATATTTCTTATTTCAACCGTTTTGCTAGCAATATTTGAAAAGGCACTAACAGCTACAATAGAATGATCCGACAACTTTGGTTGATCATGCACCTTAGCCTCAATGTTGCCATGATTAGAAACAACATAATCTATCAAAGACATGCTCATATCAGTTACCCTTGTATAGTCAGTGACCAACTGATCAACCCCATAAACATCAAATAAACGTTGAATTTGGTGGTATAGGATTTTTTATCATCTTTAAAATCTATATTTACATCGACTACTAAAATGCATTGACTCACAGAGAAGTAATCATCTAAAACGTCTTCCAACTTATCAATAAAATCAGCATTACTTGCACTAGGAGAGTGATAAACACCACCAATTGTCCACTTTTGACCTCTCACTATCACATCAATAAAACAATAATTCGGATGACTAACGATTTTCCTTTTGACTTTATATTCAATTCCATCTCTAATATAAAAGACAGTTCCTCCTGTGTACCTGCTGCTACTATTACAACGTACTAGTTGATAACCTCTGATAGTTAGCTCTGAATCCTCAATATCTTCGGTAATTCTTGCCTCACTAAGTATAAGAATAGCTGGCTTATAACAGATAACTTCTGCTTTTATTATGTCAATTTTTGGTAATAATCTTTCAATATTGAGGTATATGATATCTTGATTATGTAAAACATGCTTTGAAATATTAAATAGCTGAGTGTGCATTTTTTTTTGTGTGAAAATCCTTTGGCACATCATGAAAAGCGTCTTCATCCAAAAAGCGCTGACCTTTCAAAAAATTAAACCTTTCAAAAGTAACTCCCTGAGGCCAGAAGTTCATACACTTTCTCCTTGAGCAATTGATCAACTCCAACTAGAAAACATTTGTTATTCGAGCTATGTAGCAACCTCTTTGTTGTTTTGAACCAAAATTACGTAGTCAATAGTATGGATGCAGGTTCATACCACATGCTTGATGTTTCATAATTAATAAGAAATTTCTTACGAAAGCATGTAAGTGTGTATGGGTTCCGCACTATTCTAGTGTTTCAGATAATTGTCGAAATTGGTGAAGATATTTGTGGAACGCAAACAGCAGTTTTTGTTTATTTAATTATCCGCTTCGACCTAAAGGCCATTAGCGGTAGAGCTTAGATGCTATACTTTATATAATATACGCGTATTAGTTTGCTGTAGAAAACGTTGCTTTTGTTGCAATTTGGTGCTAAAATATCACACATGGTCGATGATGTCAGGTTACATTCCACTCTGTAGTACTCTAATAAAGAGCACTGCACTGATATGTGTTTGACACTGAGATGAGTTACATACACTTCACTCATGGGTTTTGGTTCCTGCGAGATGAGATATCCATGTGTGATCCGGGTGTGGCCTAAGCGGAGTCGTGTGATGATTGTTTGGTGTTTTCAGTTTATTGTGTGCATGTCCATGGTCCGAATCTAGGTTTCAGTTCAAGCAGCTTCGATGAGTTGTTTTGCCAGTTGGTATTCTAGGTTTGAATAGCTCCCTGTTTAAAGTGAGATTTTATATCTGTACCTGGGATGTCTGTGGTTCATACGAATATGACATCGTGATTGTCGGCTTGTAATGAGTGAAGAATCTGCTTAATTTGGTGCACTAGGTGGTTATCAGTATACATCTGCTCAAAAAGTTGAACCGAGCTTAGAGAATCAGTTATTATGAGGCTTCGTTGTATGTTCTGATTCCGTACGTGTTTCATGGCTTCTAATATTCCATATAGTTCTCCCGTAAGAATTGTTACTTCGTCTGGTAATTTTATTTTAATGGTAGTGGTGGATGTCACAACAGCTGTTCCTACTCTATTGCCCAGTTTTGATGCATCGGTGTATATTTTCTCATGATTTTGTACTATTGCTGGTGCTGGTGTGTCTGTTTTACTCATTCTTGTAAGAGCTTTGTTGATGCTTAGCCTGTGTATTGTCCAACGAGCGACATCTGCAATAGGTCTGATGGTAATTGCAGGAAGTTGTGCTATATTTAGTTTTCTTAAGCAGTCCGAGATTCTTCGGTAAAACAGCTTTTTCTGTGTTGCAT